GTTCCTTCATGTCCAATCTCCTGCTTTAAATGAATGATCTAGCCACTAGAGGGTGACAAAGTCACATTCTGTTAACATGGGTCATACCTTAATTGTCAGTTCCCAAATTCTGACAGACTGTGCATCACCAATTTAAAATGATACAACCACCAGCAATTTTTTGTCATAAAGTAATTAGAATAAAACTCTTAACACATATCACTAACAGGCTGTCTGCGTATCACTGGTGATACCCATACCACAGATTGGGAACTGCTACCTTAATGGTCTCCATTCTTTTCCCTAAAGTTCAGCAGTGTTTTTTTAGGCCCCCCTGTCCCAGACACATTGATTCTTAATTAAATTACAAGCCCCTTTCTTTGCCCTTAAATAGTGCTTAACTATTGAAACTGAGAGGCTTTGAATGCCAGTGTAGCTTAATGCCATTAAGGAGGTCTAGGGTTTATTCCCAGCTGTTCCACTGCCCTCCTGGATGACCTTTGTCAAGACACTTTACATTTATGTGCTTCAAGTTCCTCCATCTGTGACATGCAGATAATAATCTTTTGTAAGGCACTTTGGGATCTTTTGTAAGGCACTGGGTTGGATATTGCCAAATGCCATTAACTTCCATGTATCAGAAGTGCTATATAATAGCAGGTGCTCTGATGTACTACTGTGACTATTCTTAAGATATTTCATTGGAAAAAGACAGAAAAAAATTAGGAACTTCAGCTTACCACCTGACTCCACCAATGGGGAGACATCCAGTCTAAAACACAATCATAGCCAATATTAGCTGCACCTGTCTATTTGAAGCTTAATTTATATCTGCACAAAGAAATGGTGCTGAGTTGTTAAAAGCTGCATTACCTTAAAGTAAATGTAATAAGGCCAGGATTTTACCTTCCAGTGTAGATTTCTGGATCATTGCCACCAAGGACTTTTTCAAACAATACTTAGAAACAGTTGCTAGACACTATCCTGCCTAAGGAAGTTAACAATCAATTTTTCATTCTAAAAATCCTGTCCCTCATTTTTACCCTGTCCCTCAGTGCACATGAGGCAGGTAGGCTTCTGCTTACATTGCCTACTGCTCTCCCAAAGAGAAACATGAAGATTAATTACTCATGAACAGTCAGGCCAGTCTGCTGCTTGTTTAATGTCAGGAGCCTCTGTTCTTCCTACAAAAGCATTTGTAGTGGAGGGCTGAGGAGTTTTGTTTCAGTATTCTGTCCTTGTCTGGTTGTCAGCTACTCTCAATAGACTATGCTGCACAGGATGACTGAAATTAATAATTAAAAGACTTTGCTGAAGGAAGAAAAAATTACCATAAGATTGCAGCTTTCCCCCATTCTGTCAGAGTGAAAATTGCATTCAACATTCATCTAATGGTCTATGGGGATGAGACAGGTAATATGGGCTAAGCTGGGAAGCTGAAAACAGCAGGGGAAGCTTCAGTTAGGTATAAGTCACTTGATTTATTTTTCAAGTGTAATTCAGAGTTCTGTGACAGGAAGAGTACTTAGTGCCATAAATCATATCAGGCCTAAGTACTGGGGAGTAGAATAAAATCCATGACTGAACATCTTGGACTTTGGAAAAGATCAAATTTGGCTCCTAACTCTGCAGTTGTGAATGTGGGGTGGTGGGGGATGGGACACCGGGAACCATCCCTGTGGAATGAACCAAAGTCATACTGCCTTGGCCCTGGCATGGCAATTAAAATTAGATCAGCTGGGTTGGATATTCCCAAATGACACTAATTATATCAGCTAGCAAAAGTCTCTCCTCTAGCTTATTCCATAGAAAGCCAGGCTCTTTGAAGGCGGCTGCCAGGGGTGTACTGCCACTGCTGCAGGCAGCTCCAAATAACTGCGACAAAGTGAAAACAGCTGTAAAGTACTAATGGGCCATAAGTTTGGAGGCTAGGAGGAAAGGGAGGCTATCTGGTAAGAGAAGCAAAATGCTAGCATGAGCCAAGGAGTCTGTAAGAAGAGGGGGAGAGGAACTGGGAGCTGAAGAGCAGAGAGAATAATGTGACAAACGAGGAGAAAAAGAGCCAGCAAGCCATGCAAAATGATTCAACAGGGAGAGAAGAAACAAAGCAGCACTCAAGTCAGGGGACCATGAAAAGAAACTGCTAAGTGATAATCTGAAATAAAGTGGAGACCAGGCTGTAAAGAGCTGAATAGGCTTAAGACAAGGCAGTCCAGGGAACAAAAAAAGAAGGCTGGGAGTACTGCAAAGGTGGGATGGGACTTGAGGATAAACTATTGTTTATCCTCAGACTGAGAGCCTGAGAAAGGCCTGTGTCAGCCTTCCTCTCAACCAGACTGCTTCAGGTTTGACATCTCTTTTTTTGCTTACTTCCATCTATCCTGATTTCATGGTCTCTCTCATTTATTGCTGCAAAAAAGCATCCCCACAAATAAAGGTGTAGCTGAGGCAACTTTATTTTCATAGTTGGCCCAAAAAATAAAATGAAACACATAAAAAATGTTGAAATTCTTCTCATTCTGTGAGACCCTAAATGGGTCCATTTTTGTTGTGTGTGTGCCTGTGCACATGTGGACACATACATGTGTGTTTTCCATCTTATTAATAATAAAAATGATTGTTCAAACAGTAACAGATACTCATTCACTAATAATTCCGTTTTCAACAAACAAAAAATACCAATTCACACTCACAAAAAAGAACAAAGTTTCAGTTTAAAAAAACTGAAAAACTGGCAAAAATATGAAAAATTTCTAAGTATTTTTGCAAAAAACCCCAAAATGTTTAAATGATTGGCTGTTTCATGAACAACATTTTCATTGTAAATTTGTTGCCTAGCTCTAACCCTAACTTCTCTGAAATAAATTAACCCCACCATTCTGCAAATTCTTAGCATTTTTTTTGTGGGTGCCCTTCAGTTTGATTTTTTTTTTGTCCAAAGTCACGCTCCATACTAAGGACATTAGCAGATTTAGAACGATGTCTCTCACCTATTAAAGGGCAAGGGGAGCAGAAGGAAAGCATCTTTCTAACTCTTACACCTTAAGAGCCCTTCAATATGGATAAAACACCCAATTATCAGCCAAAGAATTCCCCAAAACCCTACTGATGCTGATGGAAAATCTCCCACTGACTTTGCTGGCCTTTAAACTGGCTCTCAATTACATCTGAAAACCCCAGACTGTGAACACAATTCTAGAATTTGATGGGAAACAGTTTTCTCATGGTGCGAAACTTTTCAAGACTTCGGAATACGTCAGCACTTGAGGTATTCCTGTGGAAAATTCAGGTTAAATCCCTGCTTTGTCTGATTCAAACACAAATCTCCCACATCCAAGCTGTGCGCCCTGATCTCCAAGACATTTGCTAGCCAAGGGTTTCACCTTTTCTCTGGCCTGAAATTCCACCCTGGAGCTGAGGCCTCTCTGGACAAAAAGGTTTGTTAAAAGCAACACATTCCACCAAAAAGTCTTGCTTTCAACAACTCTGCACTTCCTGATGAAAAAACCTGTGTGTCAGAATGTCTGACCTGCTATAAATAAGGCCAATGCTCTCACTCACTCTGAATGGTACTGAGAGATTTATTTCACTGAATTCAGGAAAGTCAGCTACTCATGGAACAAGGTGCTGTTCCACAGGCCAGAGCGAGGTAGATGTTACTTAATGCTCAGATACACCACTGCAAATCTGGAGGAGCTCAGTGATATTACTCCACTTTTACAGTGGCATAACTAACACCAGGATTTAATGCCCCATGAGTCATGGTGTCACAACAGAGCCTTAAGAAAGCCAATAGAGAGATGGTTTATTTTGACTTTTATTAAACCTTTTTTGCTTTTTCCTGAATTTAAAACTATATGTTTCCAACCTTACAACAGAACAATCTGGCACTGTCATCATTTGGTTCCTGTCACTGAGAAAAAGGAAATTTAAAGCTGGGCTAATCTCAAATCCAAGCATCAAATCCAAAGCAGTGTTACTAGTATCCTTCCATCATTGCAATGTATTTTGTCACTTTCCAACACTTGCAGTTACTTAACTGCTACCAAAATGCTTGTCTCATATAGGATGTAATTTACTCAAGCAGTGGGGAGAACATAACTCACACCTTCTCTCTCTCTCCTCACTTTGAGCATGCTGCAGAAGAGATTGCCACTGGATTTTCACAATCTGCACTGGTAACCCCAAAGCCTCTAAAATGACAAAGCAAGTGGATTGCATTAACTTCATCCTTCATGCAGCCCCTTTGGCTAGGGACTAACTTAGCCTGTTGGTGGATTTATTTAATGCACAGAGGGTGTATCTACACAAGATGCAATGGCACCGTAGCACCCGCTGGCAAAAACCATGACACCATTGCTAAGTCACCATAGCAACGCACCCCCTCATAGCACATTGTTATGGCGACATAGCAGCCAAAAATAACCGTGCAGCCAGCACAGCGCAGTACAGGCTGTTACTGTGCTGTCGTTTAGTACTTCCAAAAGGAAGTACTAAATGATGGCACAGTAACAAAGGTGCCATATGGCCACGTGTAGATGCACCTGGACAGGCCTATATTACAGGACTCCTCTACCTACTCCTGCAATAAGGCTTGAATACATCCCGGTCTTCCTCTGTGGCTCAGTGGCTTGGTTACTGAGTTAATAACAGGCAGGTTATGAATTCAAAGCTGGGTGTGGGCCTCTAAATTTCAGTCTTAAAGGTGGCCTCAAGAAGTTCCTTTTCTCTATAGTTGGAGAGACTCCTGCTTTAAGTAGGGGGCTGGACTAGATAATCTCCTGAGGCCCCTTCCAACCTTAATTTTCTATGATCCTAAGAAAGAGCTTGCATGACTGAACCACTGTCACTCAACTCGGTGCGCTGTGCTAGGAAAGCACATGTTTGGAACAAAAGAGAGGAGGCAACAAGGAAAGCATCTGGTAATACATCAAAATTAGACTAAGGGAAGGAGCCCATTTCCCATTGTTGCTCCACCTCAAGCCTTCTATGCACATCCCTCTCTGGGACATTTCACTTACTTTCTTTGGAACCTCACAACGGGGTCATCCAGCAGGTCAGAGAAATCCAGCTTCCTCCCTTGCTCTATGACATCTCGGTGCTTGCGGACAAACAGCCAGCCAATGTGGGAGAAGAAGAAGCCACGCCGGGCGTTATGGGGGTCAGCATTTGTCTCCGAGTACTTGTGATGCACCCGATGGTCCCGGCACCACTCATATATGTCATTCTACATGGAAGGCAAAGGAGGATTGAATGTCACACCCAAACTACACACAACTCTCTGAAATACTGGGTATCAACTAAGCAACACATCCTGTCAGACTCAATCAGGGACAACAGCCACCAGGGCAGTGAGCATTCATACACCCAGAAGGCAACACATTCACGGATAAATGTTGCTGTTGCCTCTAAAGTACCCTGAACCAGGTGTGCTCTGGAGGGGACTTGAGCCTACAGAAAGAATGCTAGTGCTCCACACATATGTCTTGAGCACTAGAGCACCTCAGAGTACCCATGATTCTCATATTCCAGATACAGACTGGCCCACACTGCAAAAGGATTCAACTTGTCAAGGTGTGCAACTCCAGAGTTTCTATCCAGCTCTTGATCTGAATAAAAATCCCCAAATAGTTGACCTTTCCTATATAGAGAGGTTAGTTCAGACCCATCTGCAGTCTTAACAAGTACTAAAATAGAAAGGAATTTGTGCAATGTAGTAGTTTTGTGAACCCAGAGTGATTGGTGTGTCAAAGTGTATCCCCAGACACTGGTGGTGCTGAAATACAAATGGTCTTCACCTTATGCACTGGCAGGAGACACTCAGCACATCAGACCTAATCTGATCTTTTTAGTGATTTCTAGTAAACCATATTGGAAATGAACAGCTGTTGTGGGTCTGCCATAACACACTCCTATCAGCACAGAATCTCCCCTGTGGCAGATTCACTGCTCTAGGAAGAAGAGAGGCCATATAGAGGCCTGAATGAAATCCTAATTCCCTTCAAAATAGACACTGCAGACCAGTGGCCTAACTGAAGCTTATATCTGAGAGACCACTCAGAAGATATTTCCTGCATATCTGCAAGAAAGCAGTATCTGTTCCAGAAACAGACTGAGAAACTGAGAAAAGCTATATTGCCTCATGAAAATGGTACAGAAGCAGTTTTGATAATGGCTAATTTGAGGGGTCTGATTTAGTCTTCTCATTAATAGACCCAATGTCACTGTACAACCTTAAAGTGGTCCATAGACATTATAGGGGTCATATGTGTCATCCATTTTTTACAGCTGGCCACCACTAGCTTCTCTAGGGATGAACATAGTACTGTGTCAGATCTTGAGAGATGCTGAGTACTGTCTTCTCCTGTTGAGCGCACTCAGCTCCTGAAAATTCAGTACCACTCTGGAGGTGGTCAGCAGCCTGAAGGATTGGTCCTGGAATATAAGACTGAACCAAAAAGTCCCTGGAGAAAGAATAAACTGCAGGAGCAGATCAGTTTGTCTAAGCAAATTATCAGTAGAATATTTAAGTCTTTGGCATACTCCTTCAAGGAGCTTCATCATACCAACAAATAAATCCTCGAATATGCTGGAAAATTCAGGCACAATAAAGCCAAAGAAGTCCCTGACTTATACAACTGGACTCTTGTCACTAGCTTTATGATCACCCTGGAGTGTTTGAAATCTTGACTTGGCATGTGAGCTGTAATGATGCTTCTTTAAACCAAGTATCATTGCTAGAGATGGCCTAGAAACGTTGCTGAGGGGGCTAATAGGAACTGAACCTGATTTGGGGGGAGGGTTTATAAAAAAAGAAACAATGCAGTCATGTCTGTGTTAAGGCACTTTTTGTGAACAGAGGGCCTGGAATAAAACCCTTGCAGCTAAACCCTCCCTTGACCTTGGGATCTGGGTCAGGATACAAAGGAGAGTTCAGGCCTACCACACAGACATCAAGGTCAATTAAATATCCAGTGACAACAGCCTGGCACTCTTGAGAAGCCAGCCTACACCATGAAGAAGAAGGAATTTGGTGGCCACAATTTTCAGAAGTGGATCCTTAAAGCAAGGTATCTAAAATTTAGATTGAGGAATTCAAATGCTATTGATGGTCTGATTGTTCAGTGGCGCTGAACTTCAACATTTTTCAGTGGCACGTGCTGAATGTTTGACAACTGTGAAAATCAGATCACTGATTTAGGTGTCTAACTATAAATTAAATTGCCTAACATGGGGCACCCCAGTCTACAAATTGTTGCCTGCACTGAAATCTATAATAGCATACAGCACGTTAAACAAAGAACATTCAGCAGAGCGTGGCCTCTTCTTTCCTTCTTCTCAGTCACTGCCATGGCAGAGCGTGGGAGGCATGACACCCAAACAACAAGCTTCTTTGGGAACGGCAGAAGCAGCACTGCCATTGCATACTTCTGCTTTGTTTTTAGAGAATAGAGAAGACATGACAGCTTGAGATGTCTGCAAAATAGCAAGAATGAGGCAACAACAAAGACAGAATTCATGTTCCATTGCCATGACTGCAGAATACAGTAACCCAAGGAAGGCAACTGTCTACATCCTCATTTTGTGAGTTGAGAAGCTTCTGTTGTCAGTGCTAGTAGAAATCACTGCTTTTTACATCAGCTGCAAACTTTCCAGAGGCTGTAGAGGGAATGCTCACTGGTGCTGGGAGGCAACCATGTCCCAGAACCAAAGAACCTGGCTCCAGTTCCTCCACGGTAAGAATTTAATTATCCTAAAACTGTGTCTGGAAGACTTCCAGGGCTGCCTTTTTGACCTCCATTCTATCAGAGAATTAAAAACACAGAGACATGAGGAAGGGGAATTTACAGCTTGATGACTGTTGCCACAGGAAAAACTGATATAGATATCTAGCAATGGTAGATCTAGTAACAACTGGAGTCTTGACACCTGTCAGGTGACAAGGGTTTTTTGTTTTGCTTTGTTTTTAACACTAACCCATGTCAAAGGTCTGACACTAGGAAATGAAGACTAGGCTCTTGCCAGTGTTCCCATTCCTCACACCTTTGTTTTCATTTGTTATCATGTAAGAAAAGCTTTTGGCAAAAGATAAAGGAAACAAAGTCACCTGAATCTCTGTCTGGTGCAAAACTATGGGACACAGTTGCACTGTTTCCAATGTTTTCTTAAAAGCAAGAGACATTGCAGAGAAACCAGAGAAGCTAAAATCCTCCATACTGCTACAAGTGGCAGGTCTAGAGGAACTGGAATTGGAAGCATGAAGCAGACCAGAGTCTACTTTGAAAAGTCATTTAAAGATGTCAAGAAGATACAAGAATGTCAATGGGAAAGGAACATTTTTTTCTAATAGAAACAATCTTCCAAATGAGATTATTGATCACAATGCTATAGATCTGTGTAATAAGGAATGAGCCAAAGCAGGTAACGAGGTCAACCAGCTTTTGTGTCAAAGCAGATAACCAGGTCAATGCCATGCTAGTGCATGACATTAACTCATTTTTTGCCTGGTGCAGTACATATTAGTAAAGTTAGCTGCTTCCCCAAATTAGCAAGGCTGGGCAGATCTGAAGGCAGCTTGTTAAAAATGCAGACACTAAGGAGCTGCAGGTAGGAGAATGAAGCAAATCTGACTCAAGTGTTGCCCATCTCAGAACCAAAACTTCAGCAGTACAAACTGAGCCACTTACAAAAGCTTGAGAAGTAATTCTACATGGCTGACTGACAAAAGAAAAAAATCTCAGGCTTTTCCATGGGTAAAAAAAAATGTGTTTGGATACAGAGAAAAAATTTCTGCATGTGAAATTTCTGCATTCTGAATTGACCAGAGCATGAGGCCAGAAGTGCTAAGTATAGACTTAGTCTCCCACAAGAATAGTCTCTCTCAAGATATTTAGGATTCTGTAACAGCTTCTTAGGCAGCCTGCTCTCCATGGCTAAGTACAGAGATTCAAAAAGCCTGAGGAGGATTTGATACAAGTCATGTGGTTTTCTGTAAATGGCTTAATTTAGATCGGTAGTGAACAGAAGAAAAAATTCGTCCTTTGGTGGGGGACGCAAATCTTAAACTGGGTTTTGCTATCTTTAAACCAGTCTATGTGTGCTGAACTTCTGTTCTGTTATGGATATAGACTGGTTTCTGATCACTCATACCGGTAAAAGTGTAATGTCTGTACCTGGCCCACATGTCCAATATGACAGACCTGGTTAGAAGTAGTCCCATAGGCACTGGCAGTTATCATGCCAACTTGGAGCCAAAAGCAGTTGGGGTAAATTAGAGCTGTCCTTAAGGTGCTAGAGCTTATAGTAAATGACTTAGACCTGACATTCTGGATTGGGTAGGGGTGCAAAAGTGGCTCAAAGCTACCTTTAGACAGCGCACTCACTGAGATTTGCAGTGAATACTTCTCAGCCTCAAATGATGGTAAGGCTGACATTCAAGTGTGGAACATACAGTACCACAGGAATTGGAGTTCAAAGGGGCTTTTGCATCCCCAACTATCCTGGTTGGTCCAAGATTGCACCAGAATGATTTGGAAGTAAGTATGAAAGATTACCTCTAAACAATGTCCTTTTCCTCCAATTTTTTTTTTTTGAGTTGAGAATTGCTCAAAAGATCATCATGCCTTGTAGTGCTTTGCACCAAAGGGACTGAAACAAAACACAGCTCAACATAGTCAAATCAATAATACCTCAATTGCTTTAACTCAGAGCTGTGCACTCTTTGTACTGTGAGGAGATTAGTGTTCTCTAGTGGTGCAGACGCATGTAAGAATTGAACCGTTCCAAGAATGTCACTGATTGGGAACCAGTTCATAATTGTTGTGGTTTAGAGGCGTCTGCATGTACACTGCCAAGTGGTCCAAGGACAACAGTCACCTTTTAGGCATTGCAGTGCTGTTGAACCACAACCAAGGGGTGAAAGTGAGTACCCAGCTCAGCATGCCTCACAGTCGGGAATGCCTGGAGTTTCCCTGGGATTTCTTTAGCAGGGGAAGAAGATCCCAGCTGGCTGGAAGGGGCTGTGGCAGGGTGGGGTCTGTCCAGACCCCTGCATTCTTGGGGGACAGTATTCTGGGGGATGCCCAAAGTCTCTGCTACAGGCTACAGCTTTAAAAAGACTTTCCTTAGACAGCCACTCAATTTAAATTCATTCCCTCCCTCCATCCTCTGAGGCTGGTGGGCAGGTGGGTGCACCTTGAATGGTAAACACCCATCAATTGCTGGTTGAGGGGAAACTGAGCCACGGTACAAGGGGCAAACTTAATACCACTGAATGGCTATCAATTCCATTCTGGGTCAATGTGAATCAGCCCATTAGTTGTTAATTGTTCTTCCCCCAAAAGCAGAGGCATCCTTCCCACTCACCTGAGTTGTGAATAGTACCAGGAAGTTGAGGACTAGGAGGCGGGGTGAGAAGCAGTGAAGTGCGGACTGCCTGGAGAACGTATCAGACACTAGTTATGGAGAATTTAATACTTAGCACATTAGTGGTTCACAGAGAACTGGATCAAAAAGTATCTGATTATCCAGATATACTCTTGAAACATTTCTGAAGGTTTTAACCATTCTAAACTGGCCTGAAAATCTGGACACTTGTAGTTTAAACTGGTCTGAGTGTTGCATGTGTCTGCACCCTAGGTCAGAGAAGAGACTGACTTGAGATGACACTATAGAAACATTCCCAAAGACAAGCAGTGTAGAAGTCATTCAGATACTTCCATTTATCCTCTGTCATAACACAAGAATGAGAAAATGTCCAGTGAAATGGAAAGAACACAGGCTGAAAGCTGATGAAAAGAAACACTTCCATTCACAGATCATAATTAACTTAGGGAACTCCACGCCATAAGATGTTATTGAGGCCAAGAGCTTATATGTATTAATAATAAGAATACTTACAATTATATACTAAACCAATAATTGTGCTAAAAGCAGTGTGGAACCAGCAATGAACCACACACTGGGTTTTCATTCAAGAGACTCAGATGCTATTCCAATGCTACCACCAGCTGGCTGATTGACAGCCTCTTCACCCTCCCCAAACCTCAGCTTCCCCCTCTTTAATGTGGAGATAACAATGCCTCCTTTGTAAAGTGCTTTGAAATCTACCAATGAAATGTGCTATATAAGAGGTAGGCATTTCTTATTAGGACAATAACTAAAATAAAAACATACATATGCCTGCCCTCATTCTTCAGGACAGAAGCCAATCTGTGACTGCCTTACATAGGCATGCAATTGCCCATTATGGAGGTTGTGTGTTGTCCCCTGAAGCTTTGGTACTGATTCCTGATGGATCATTGATCAGGTTTGCTTTCATTCCCAGGTACATACTGACACACAGGTGACATATGTTTCTGCCTCCCTCCCCTGATTCATCAGTAGCTCCTGCAGAGTGCAACAGATGAACATTCTGGTCCCCCTGATGCTTTCAATAGATAGCAGCCGTACACGGAGACCCTTGCCTTGGAGTTCACCCTGCACAAAGACCAAAGATCACTTTTGACAACCCCATCCCAACCTGAAAAGCCATGGAGTTGGCGAAAGCCAAGAATATCCTCAAAGGCAGCTTGGCTTTGTAGGACCGGTGACTCCACAGACGATGCGCGCCAGCAGTCACACCCAGGGCTGTAACAAGGAAGCAGAAATAGGCTGCAAGACACAAAAAGAAACAAAAATCTCTCTCAATATCATGCTTACACCAAGGAGGTGGTTTTCAACAATGTTAAAGAGGATTTCTTCTGTCTTTTCAGGCTGCCTGGAAGACCCCATGGAACAGCGGACAAAGCACTAGGAGCCAGGAGTTCCTTGGGTATGCCACCTCGTTTTGCATCTCCTCCCACGCTTTTTTCACATAGAGACAGCTAGCTGTTCAGGCTTGGTGCCCTGTTTACAATACCTAGTGCAATGAGTTGCTGATGCTGGCTGTGATTGCCAAATGCTTCTGCACTATAAATAACCTGGGAGAAGTGAATTACCATGATGCATCCTATAGCAAAGGAATCATAACTTCACTCAGTGCAGTGCACCTTCATTATTCTTGTGTCAGAAGGGAGGAAGCTACTCTCATGACAAGGCACTGTCCTTCCTTCCCCAGACATGGCTTCTATGAGTCTAATTTGTCAACTAATTGAAGAGGCACCATTTACGCCTCTAGAGATAAAAGATTCTGTCAGAGTTTCCATGATAAAATCCTCTATTACCAGGAGTTTATAACTTGAAAATAAAAAGTCTCTGCAGAAACTTCGCATTCAAGATCTCTTAGCTGGTGGGCATTTTCCCTTCCCCCACTTACAAAAATTGGGTGAGGAACTGTTTTGTGAGCATTTGCACTTAGAGTTAGCACAGCAAGAAAGTGGCATGCATTAAATGCTTCAGGTTTTTTTAAAGACTCTTGAAGAACAACAACAACAAATGTCCTTGTTTTTAGGAGGTTAAGGTTTATATGGTCTTCTATTTGTTTCTAAGCCCCAGCAATTCCCCTGTTTTCTTTTAGTTTCTCTCTTACAAAAAAGCTGTATGGAATTTAATGAGGAAAAATCAACAAGAATAATACTAATGCTACTACTAATAATAAATAAAAGTTTTTCTATGGGACTTTTGAGCCATCTTATGGCATTAAACAAGGATATAATCCAAAGGACTTCATCCTCTATTCATTTTATAGTGTAATTTCTATACAACCCTATCACATTTCAAGAGGCTTGAACTGCTTCTACCCCCCATTAAATTCCATAGCACTTTTCTATATAAGGGCCATTCCTCTTTCCCACATACTCAGCGGCCAGTTTCCATGGTGACCTTCCCTCTGTCTGAGAAGCGGGGGGGAAGGGGCTCTATTGTGAGTGCAGCAGCTCATCTCTTGGCAGGGTCCCTGCAGAGAGATTTGATGTAGAAGGCATCAGGAAGGAGGAGAAATTATTCCCTCGTATTTGTGGTAGCTGACAGAAGGAGAGTTACTAAGCATGTCAACACTGCATCGCTGCTGTGTCCAGGCAGAGCCAGTCTTGAGAAAGCCCCTTCCCACCAACTCCTTCTCACAAATGCTGGGCATGCGGTTATGACCAACCCAATGTGGTCTAGGGAATGGTCCAGGAGACTGGGTTCCTTTGGGTGTTGTATTACTGACCAGCTCTGTGAGTTTGGACATGCCAGCTTGCCTTGCCTCTGTTTCCCCTCTTAGCTTTGTGTGTCCTGTCTATTTAGATTGAAAACTCTCTGGGTTAGGTGCTGTCCCTTACTGCATGTTTTTGCATCAACTTGCAAAATGGGGCCTGTTCTTTGTTATGGTCTTGAGATGATATTGTCATACAAATAACAGTAAAAGGAAGAGGGGGCAACTTGACATTAAAAATACATCCCAGCCCCTGCCAATCCTGACAGCAAGAGAGAAGACTGCACACTAACCACACCAAAAATAAAATCATTTTTATGTACTGGGAAAGCATTTCTATGAAGCTGCTACTTTCAATATCTGGTCTTTTTCCAGGGCCGTGAAGTTTTATGACAAATATTTTGGTCTGTGCATGGAACACGTGCTAATTTACCAATGTTAGGGCTGGAATTTAGTGCTGCAATAGTTGCTCTCAAAGCCATCCCTGGTGGAATATGCTTTTATACCTTCAACACGATCCCTAGCTGCACCCTGTAAATTGCTTGTTTAGTTGTTGCTTTGCACTGGCTTAGATGGGTCACTTCTGTAACTAACCGGTTTCCCTTTCCCTCTTTTCTTCAACATTGTATTGTTTGAGCTGCAAAAACCGCAGAGGAAATGTTATATTTGAAAGAAAGTGTTTTTACTGATATTAAAAAAAAATCTACGTATAGATCCTGTTTTCCCTGACACATGCCTTGTTCCTCTGGTCTATGTGGGGGTTGTCAGGAAAGTCAACTCAAACTACTAAGGGTCTGCATTTCAAGTGGGTTATTTGTAGATCCTCTTATGCAGAATTAAATTGGCTCTGATCCAGTTCCAAAACTGAAGTATGGCCACTCCTAATCTGTATTTATTTTTAAAGTTGATTGCTTAGACCTCATTACACTCCAATGTGGATGCTCTCACTTAGAATTAACATGGTTTTAATTCAGTTTAGCTTATTTCATTACAACATATGCTTTAAAACTTGGCTAGATGAGCCCAAAAGCTCAGAATTGAGCCTAAGGCAGCTCAGGTTTTATGAGCTGCAAAAAGCTTTCTGCTTTTTTAAATTTAACAAAAGGTTTTCCATTCACTTTCCTGCCACTATGAAGCTAGTGTTGCTGCTGCATACAGTGTACCCACTAACAGACTAAAATCTTAACAGGGCAAAACTTTTGGTCCAGGTGAAAAGAAATATACAAGTACTTTGCGTCTCAAATTCTCTTTTAGATAAATAAAGGTTTTATTTACAAAGTAGACTTCTATTTGTTTCTTTTTTTTCTTTTTCTTTTTCTTTTTTTAACAACAGCAAACAAACTATTTGTGATGGCAGAATGAGAACAGAGATCTTTCTTGTGTTAATTTGAGTCATTCCCCCATTTATTTCCTGATGCCATTTCCTTTGTGTTCTTGATATTGTTATCTCCCGTATCTGAATTCATTAGTAATAAATACTGCATACGCATACGCCAAGTTGTTTTGCCTTGTAACAAAAAGGAGACCAAGAGAAAAGGCTGTTAGAATAATAATACACTTGAGCTGCTCATATGCTGAGACAGTTGGAGTGAAATTGAGGCAAATGCTATTATATAAATACTCTGGACCATTATTCAAAAGCAAAAATCCACTTGCCCTACCTGGAACACAAACGTTTAAGGTACCTGGTTTCAGTCTATGACTGTCGTTTTTCAAAAGAAAAAGTAAAGAGATTCTATCAACATGAGGTGCTTTTGTTTTTATATTACTAAGAAAATTAACATGCATTTGTCATTTAACTAAGAAAGTTAAATGTGACCTGTGTTCTGCATTTTCTCCCTACTAGGAATAAGCATCCACTGCTGAGTGTTTACTTGCCTATTAGTGTCAGTATCCCATAAAACATTATACCCACCAATAAGTCCTGCTGTGCAGTGACTTGGAGATGAATCAGAAATATTAGTGAAATGGAGATGAAATACAAACCATCTACATTCACAAACTCTAAAGGTCATTCATGATACAATCTGAAAAAAAATTACAAAAAATATAAAAAAACCCCCTACTGTATCTGTCAATGAACTGAATAGTCACAGCACAGAAAACTGTAACATCAAAGGTAACGCAAAAATAACAAGTTAATTTGCTTTCACGCAGGCACCCTCATTGAAGTCAATGGATCAAATCAACTTCAGCAGTATTACACCAGGGATGGATTAAGCCCAAAGTATTTGCATATTGTACAAACCACCCTAGCACCAATTCTGACTCTAAATTAGTTCCATTTCTCAAGTAATGAATGAGCCAAAATTTTCTTATAAGGCACCATAACCTAATTAGCCTAATAAGAGCATAAAAATCTGTTGCAAAAGCACCAATTATTGTCCATTACTATTAGACAGCTATCTTCCTAATGTTCAGCCAGCTGCAGTGACAGAAATGGTCTTAAAGACAGCCAATCTCTGCCCTTCAGACCAACCCGATGGTAAGCAAAGGCATAGGAGTGGAGGAGGGTATCCCACCCCATACTGGTGAACAAGTTAAGAGGCTGTGACTTAGATGACTACACAGTCCGGTGGGTGGCGAATTAGCTAGAGGGTCGTACCCAGAGAGTCGTGGTGGATGGGTCGGTATCGACCTGGAAGGGTGTGGGCAGTGGGGTCCCGCAGGGCTCGGTCCTTGGACCGATACTCTTCAACGTCTTCATCAGCAACTTGGACGAGGGAGTGAAGTGTACTCTGTCCAAGTTTGCGGATGACACAAAACTGTGGGGAGAAGTGGACACACTGGAAGGCAGGGAACAACTACAAACAGACCTGGACAGGTTGGACATATGGGCAGAAAACAACAGAATGCAATTCAACAAGGAGAAATGCGAAGTGCTGCACCTAGGGAGGAAAAATGTCCAGCATACCTACTGCCTAGGAAATGACCTGCTTGGAGGCACAGAAGCGGAAAGGGATCTTGGAGTCCTAGTGGACTCCAAGATGAACATGAGTCGTCAGTGTGATGAAGTCATCAGGAAAGCTAATGGCACTTTATCTTGCATCAGCAGATGCATGACGAACAGAACCAAGGAGGTGATACTTCCCCTCTATCGGGCGCTGGTCAGACAGCAGTTGGAGTACTGTGTGCAATTCTGGGCACCGCACTTCAAGAGGGATGTGGATAACCTGGAGAAGGTCCAGAGAAGGGCCACTCGTATGGTTAAGGGCTTGCAGGCCAAGCCCTATGAGAAGAGACTAGGGCACCTGGCCCACTTCAGCCTCCGCAAGAGAAGGCTGAGAGGTGACCTTGTGGCTGCCTATAAGTTCATCATGGGGGCACAGAAGGGAATTGGTGAGGCTTTACTCACCAAGGCACCCCTGGGGGTTACAAGAAATAATGGCCATAAGCTAGCAGAGAGCAGATTTACACTGGACATTAGGAAGAACTTCTTCACAGTTAGAGTGGCCAAAGTCTGGAACGGGCTCCCAAGGGAGGTGGTGCTCTCCCCTGCCCTGGGGGTCTTCAAGAGAAGGTTGGATATGCATCTAGC